GTCCGGCCACTGCTCCCTTCCAGACACTCCACTTTGATGTCTGGGGCCCTGCACCTACGCAGGGACCTGAGAGGGAGCGCTACTTTTTGGTGGTCGTCGACGACTTCTCCAGGTACACCACGGTGTTTCCTCTCGCGAAGAAGTCCGAGGTGACTTCTACGCTGATCCGGTGGCTTCTAGCCACTGAGGGCACTCGTGGCCGTCGTGTCTCCTGTCTCCACTCTGACCGTGGGGGTGAGTTTCGCTCAGGCATTCTTGCCGGATTCTGCGGCGAGCAGGGCATTGTACAGTCCTGGACGCTGCCGGAGTCCCCACAGCAGAATGGGGTTGCTGAGCGCCGCATTGGCTTGGTCATGGACATCGCCCCCACGTCCATGATTCATGCCCGTGCGCCCCATTTTATGTGGCCCTACGCGGTTCGCTACGCCGCTCACCAGCTGAACCTCCAGCCGCGCGTCTCGCGGCCAGAGGCTTCACCGACCAGTCTTTGGACCGGGTCCCCTGGTGTTGGGTCAGCTTTTCGTGTCTGGGGCTGCCTTGCGCTTGTCCGCGACACCTCTGCGGACAAGCTCTCGGCTCGCGCCGTCCCCTGTGTCTTCCTTGGTTTCCCGGTAGCCTCGGCCGACTGGTCCTTTTACCACCCGCCCCTCCACCAGTTCCTAGACTCCCGTGACGTCCGGTTCGACGAGTCAGTGTCCTACTACACCAGGTACCCCTGTCGAGGTCTCCCGGTTCCCCTTCCCCCCCTTTTCCTCGCACCCTCTCTTCCCCCTGCTCCCGCTCCTCCGGTATCCCCACCCCCCCCTGGTCCTGCCCCGTCAGGTGTGTCTCACGCTACCCCTCTACCCTCGGCCGCGCGTCAGGTAGCGGCTCCCTCCCCGCAGTCCTCCTCACAGTCCCCTCAGCAGCCTTCGGTACTTCCGCGACAGGCTACTGTGGACTCGGTTGGTTTTGGAGCTGGAGGTGCAGCCACTGGCGGTACTCGGTCCGGGGGTGCTCGTTTGAGGGGTGCTGGAGTTGGAGGTGCTGGCGCAGGTGGCGCTAGCCCTGGGGGTGCTGGAGCTGGAGGTCCTGGCACTGGAGGTGCTAGTCCTGGGGATGCTGGAGCTGGAGGTGCTGGCGCAGGTGGCGCTAGCTCTGGGGGTGCTGGAGCTGGAGGTGCTGGCACTGGAGGTGCTAATTCTGGGGGTGCTGGAGTTGGAGGTCTTGGCACTGGGGGTACTAGTTCTGGGGGTGCTGGAGCTGGAGGTGCTGGCACAGGAGGTGCTGGTTCTGGGGGTGCTGGTGCTGGAGGCGCTGGCACTGGAGGTGCTGGTTCTGAGGAGACTGGAGCAGGAGACACTGGTTCTGCGGAGTCCACTCCGCCTCCCCACCGCCACGACACACGTCTCCAGGCGGCCCGTCGGCGTGAGCGTGAGGAGCAGGTGCTGTTGGAGAGGGAGCGGCAGGAGTTGCGGCAGTTGGACCTGCTGGAGCAGCAGCAGCAGCAGCAGCAGCAGCAGCAGCAGCCGCAGCAGCAGCAGACACCGCCGCCGCAGCTGCGACCACAGCAGCTCCCTCTGGAGCGGCAGGTGTTCCCACCCGTGAGTGGCCTTCGGGCCCTTGGTCTTCCCTCCTCTCCTCCTGTTCACACTCCATCCCCTCTAGCGTTTGGTCCCACGTTTCCTCCTCCTGACGCCAGTCCGGCGGTCTGGTCTTCTCCTCCACCGCAGTCTCCTCCACCTGGTGTCCCGCACTCTCGTGTCCGTCCCTGTCCTCCGCGTGCTCGTCACTCGTCTCCCGTTACCGACCTCCGCACTGCCCTCCTTTGTTCGTCTCTTCGTCGTCCTCCTCCTGAGTCCGTTCTCCCGTGTCCACCTCCGTCCTCTCTCCCTTTCCCCCCTACTCCTGTCACTGACTACTACCGCGCTGTTCGTCCTGTTGTCTCTCGTGTCCTCGCCACTCTTGTCACCGACTCTCGTTTCCCTCCGTCGTCTGTCTCGGCTCTCACTGCCGCTGTCGCTGAGTTTGCTGTCGCCAGTCGCCTTGACTACACCACCCGTGTGGTGCCAGCTCCTCCCTCCCGTCCTCTGTCCGTCGGGGGTGGGTTTGCCCTTGGCTGTGACGTCCTAGAGGACAGAGAGTCTGAGCTGGGGTACTGGGCAGCCGCTTCTCCCTCTGTCTGTGCCATGCTGCTATCCCCTGAGGGAGACCCCGACGCCCTTGACATACCGACTCCTCGCACTTACCGCGAGGCAGTGTCAGGGGCGTGGGCCTCACAGTGGAAAGCGGCTATGGCCTCGGAGTTAGCATCTTCGAGATCCACAGGCACCTACGTCGACGCAGTTCCCCCTCCCAGGGCGAACGTAGTCGATGGCATGTGGCTCTTCAAGATGAAGCGGCCGCCTGGTTCACCGCCTGTGTTCAAGGCGCGCTACGTGGCTAGGGGTTTCAGTCAGCGTGAGGGAGTTGACTTCTTCCAGACCTTCGCCCCGACCCCGAAGATGACTACTCTTCGGGTGTTACTGCACGTAGCAGCACAGCGAGACTACGAGCTGCACTCCCTTGACTTCTCTACTGCGTTTCTCCAGGGCCGACTACACGAGGAGATCTGGCTGCGCCGCCCTCCTGGCTTCACTGACACCTTCCCACCTGGGACCCAGTGGAGCCTGAGACGGCCAGTCTACGGTCTCCGCCAGTCGCCCCGTGAGTGGCACGACACTCTTCGCTCCACGCTTCGTGACCTTGGGTTTTGTCCTTCCTCTGCCAACCCGTCGCTGTTTGTTCGCACTGGTTCCACTCCTTTCTTTATACTAGTGTACGTCGACGACTTGGTGTTTGCCACAGCACACAGGGAAGCTCTGGCTCAGGTGAAGTCCGAACTGCAGAAGAGACACACGTGCACTGACCTAGGTGAACTGCAGCGCTACCTTGGCCTGCAGATCACCAGGGACAGAGCCGCTCGCACCATCACACTGACTCAGTCACACATGGTGCAGCAGGTCCTTCGGCGGTTCGACTTCCAGTTCTCCACCACACAGCCCACACCTCTTGCTGTTGACCACAGACTCACTGGCCCCTTTCCCGACGAGCCTTTTGAGCCCAGTGGTCCCTACGCAGAGCTGGTGGGCTGCCTCATGTACCTGATGACTTGTACTCGGCCGGACCTCGCCTTTCCCCTCAGCGTCCTCTCTCGCTTTGTTGCGACTGGGAGACACCGTCCTGTCCACTGGACAGCTGCTGTGAGGGTGGCGAAGTACCTGGCGACTACATCAGGCATGGGGCTTGTGCTTGGAGGGACTCAGCCAGTGGCGTTGACTGGTCACTGCGACTCTTCCTACACTGACGACGTGGAGACCCAGCGCTCGACTCAGGGTTACTGCTTCAGTCTGGGAGCTGGTGCTGTGTCGTGGAGGTCTACACGGTCGTCGTCTGTGGCTACTTCCAGTGCAGAGGCAGAGATCTACGCTGGTGCCATGGCGGCACAGGAGCTTCGCTGGTTGACCTTCTTGCTCGCCGACCTTGGTGAGCGGCCTCGCTCTGCACCGACCTTGTACGCTGACAACAAGGCCATGATCCTCCTGTGTCGAGAGCCTCGATTGGAGAGCAGAGTGAAACATATTGACGTGAGGTACTTCCTCCTGCGAGAGCTGCAGCGACGCGGCCAGGCACGCCTGGACTTTGTGGCCTCAGAGGCCAACACTGCAGACGTCTTCACCAAGGCCTTGGCGCTTGGTGATCACCACAGGTTTTGTGTGCAGTTGGGGCTTGTTGAGGTAGGCCCTCGGTTGCTGTAGTCTTGTTGCTTGCTCTGCTTGTTGTGTTTTCATATATATATCCTAGTGAACTCTTGAACTGGCCTTGTGGCCGCTTGCTTGCGCTCGGAATTTGTGTGGTGTCCTTGAGATCCACCCTGAGCTTGCCTTGTTTCTTGCTTTGACTGGTCTTGTGACTGTTTGTTCACCATGCTTGCTTTGATGCCCCTCACTTAGCCTACGGGGATGTGTCAAATGTTGTTATTGGTTGTAGGCTGCAGCGAGTAGCACTCTAAGGAGTACAACACTCTTAGGGTTTCTATTTGTATGCCTTGCTCTCCTAAGTCAAACATTCCGTTGCATTCACTTTTTGAGACTTTTATCCCAATGATCTAGTGGTTGGGATTCTGACATGTCAGGCTATTTGTTTTTTTACCCTACCGATCAGGGTAATCCTGGCTGGCACCCTGATTTCCCAGGGTGGCCAAAAACCAATTTTGAGCCCTGCAAGGTAGGTGGTCGAAAGAACTAGTGAAGTCATATACACAGGTTTTTTTTTTTTTTTTTCTTCAGTAACTCCGTAATTGTTGTGCCACCTCGGTGATTATTCCGTGTGTCATCCCCTTTTGCCCCTGTGCTTCTCACTGTCCTCCCCTCTGTGTCTCTCTTACCAAATCCAAAGTTGCTCAGTGAATTTTCCAACAGACATTTCAACACTTTGCATGAGTTTAGGGACTTGGCGTGGCGACGTTTCAGCAGATCAGTCAACACCTTTAACATGCTTGGGAGGTTGACATTGGGGGATCTTTGAGTGGGACAAATATTCCAGCAGGGCGCTTCTAGAATCGAGCTCAGACAAGGCATGGCTTCACAGTCTGGTAAAACTTGAAACATACCATGCTGTACTCGGGCTTTAAACTGGTAAAGCAGGCTGAATTTCTAGCCATAAACAACGACGCTGGGCAGGGTGGTAAAAGCTACAAATGTTGTTTTAGCAGTGTGGTGGCCAAAACACGCTTTGTAAAACAGGTTAAACAGGGTAAAACGCCCTGCAATTCAGAGGCCTGGTGGGAAGTATGGATGGAGGGAGGGGGGTGACGGAGTGGTATCGAGGAGAGGGAGGAGGTAGAAAAGAGAAGCGAGGATATGGGATTGCAAAGGAGAGCGGGAGTTGGAGCAGAAAAAGGATGGAGCAAGAATGGAGGGAGCAGATGGAGAGAGGGTGAAGAGGGGGGAAGCAGGATGGTTGAGGTGGGGCGGTTAGGACTAGAGAGGGGAAGCGTGCAGGATGGGTGAGTGAAAGAGGGCGAGCAGGAGGGGTGAATGAAACGGAGCGAGCAGGAGGGGTGAGTGAAACGGAGCGAGCAGGAGGGGGATCCGGGGGAGCATCACCTGGTGCACGTTCAGGTCGATTGTTGCCACTTGCTGCACTCGCTTCACCGCTCTCTGCTCCTTCCAGCAGCCCTCCACACGTACGGATGCTTGCCCTCACAAGCTGCACTTGCTGCTGATGGTGATTCATGTAACACCGGCCGCAATGATGGTGACTGTGGCTGTGCCTGTGATTGCAGTGATGATGCTTGGGTTGGTGACAGTGCTGCTCGTACTGGTGGTGGCAGTGGCGGTGGCAGGGTGGGTGGCGAGGGGAGCATGGTTGAGGCAGTGACGGCAGCGGCCGTGACAGCAAGGTCGTTCAGCAATGCCCCCACACCTCCCAACTCCCATTCTCTGCTACAGGCAACTCCCTCCAACTGGCCTAGAAAATCGGCTCGACACTCAATGACAGATTTGCCTCCACGCACTCATCCACCAGCAATGCAACTCTCAGGGCATGTTACATAGGGTGATCGAACGTCCTCGCGATTGTATGTTGGGGGCGTTAGCATAGCTTCGTCAAGTTTTGGATGGAATAATCTTGGTTTCAGTACGGTGGCGGGTCGATATTGGACGATCGATCACCCCACACCCATACCGGCACCTCCTGTGCCGCCCACCCTCTAACTCCACTGCCCCCTGCCCCAGTCCACCTCGGCGAGAGTTCGTCTAACGAGGGTGGGCGACCAGGGGAAGCCAATGCGGCGCATGGCAGCAGACCTGCGCCAGGTACTGCGGACAGTGCACCTGGGGGGCGGGGGAAAGGGGGGGAGGAGGGAGGGGGGAGGGGGGAAGATGGAGGGGAAAGGCGGGAAGGGGAAGGGAGAGGGGGGGAGGAAGGAGGAGGGGGAGGGAGGGGAAGGGGGAGGGAGGAGAGGGTGGGAGAAGAAGAGTGGAGTGGAGAGAAGGGGAGAAGGGGAATAGGGTGCATGGTGGATTTAGAGGTGAGGAAAGAGCTGTGGGCGAGGGTGTGGAAGGTGGAGAGGGAGAGGGGGTAGAATGCCGTGTTGATGCACCATAGCCATGTGTTGGCGTGCGTGTGGCGTGCGTGTGGGGAAGACGCTTCTTGGGGCGGTGCAGAGAGCTGGCAGTGCGTGGTCGGGGTTGCTGAATTCATAATAGCGCGGGGGGATGGGGAGGGAGAGAACGAGCAACCAGGCGAGGAAAACCTAGCCAGCAAAACATGGACGAGGGGGGGGGGGGGAGGAGGGGGGGGGGGAGGAAGACCACGAGGGGGTTTGGAAGGGAGGGAGGGACGGGAGGGACGGGAGGGAATGGAGAGAAGAGGAGGGGTTGAACGGACCTACTCGAAGCAGGTCGGAAACGGGCGGCATGGGGTGTGGCGTGACCACCTGGAGGGCGAGAGGGTGGTGGAGGGCGAGTGAGAGAGATGATAGCGGGTGGAGGAATGGGAAGCAACATGGATGGGGGAGGAGAAGAGAGGGGGGAGTAAGTGTGCAGGCGGGACGGCGAAGGCGCTGAGAGATGAGGTGAGAGATGAGCTGAGAGATGAGCCACAACAATATCACGTCACTTTCATCCTCTTGATACCACTGCTCATCCCACGCACCTTCCCACTGGCCCGATCACCTTTCCCCCAACAACCCCCCTCCCCGCTTCCCCCTTTTCCCCTTCCCCCTTCCCTTCCCCCTCCGCGCCGCTTCACAGCGCGCGGAACTCGCCTGCGCGGGTCGCACCACCCCTTCGCGCAGCAGCATGGCGTGAATCGCCTCGAACACGCCCATCGGGAATCGGTGCCCCGCCGCCAGTTGCGGCGCGCTGAACAGCGCGTGGTGCACCACCGGCAGCCCCGCGCAGCCCCCCGCGCGCGAGCGCCCGTCCGCTCCGCCTCGACCCGCCGTTTCCGCGGTCGACGACTGCGGACGCGCGGAAAAACTCCGCGCGTGAGCGGAGTGGCGCAGCGAAGGGCCTGGGGAACGCGAAAAGGACGGGGTCGGAGGCGTGCGGGCTTTGCGGACTGGCGGAATGGAAGTAGCGAATTGGAGCCCAAGGCTGATTGCGCGCGTGGCCATGGGCGCGACACGCACGAGCAGCGAGGCGACGGGCGTGGGTTGCGAGAGTCGCGGTGCTGCCAGCATGGTTGGCGTGGGAAGAGTGGGGAGGTGAGGTGAGCAGGTGCGTGCTCTGGGCTGAGAAATCGCGCAACATGCTTTTTTGTTATGGTGAGTGAACATCGTGCATACGCGGTACAAGCTCGCTGGGATTGATCCAAAATAAGTCAACCCGTGTAAAAAAAAATACATTACAACCACTAACACAAAGTGCTTCTAGCTTTCATTACTCTTCTCACCAACCTGAACAGTAATGCATGCACTGCAAAGGAACCCTCGTACCTAGTAAATAACTTGCCTTTTCAATCAACAGCGGGACTATACGATACCCCATGTAAGATTCCCAAGTACCATCGGCTTGCCCCAGCCTGCACGCCTGAATATCATACCCCCGCCATGAGCACAACCGCCAGCAGTGGCAGAACGGCAGCAGCGAGAGAGGCTCCACTCGCCCCAGCAGCCTTGGGGGGAGGAGGAGGGCTGGGGCTAGGGACAGCAGGAGGAGGAGAGGGGCTAGGGCCAGCGGGAGGAGGAGACACAGATGGGGGGGACGGAGACACGACGCTTGGGGGAGGAGCACCAGTAATGGGGGCTGGCGGCGAGGGGGTAGGCGGGGACAGGGCAGGGGCGGGAGGGGAGGGCGCAGGAACAGGAGCAGGGGGCAAAGGAGTAGGAGTGTAGGGGTAAGGATCGTAGACTTCGAAAGAGGCAGGGAAGGGCCGGGTGGCGTTGGAGTAGGGGAAGTCAGCGCAGATGGCCGGGTCGAGGGGGCGCCCCGACACGCCCTTGGCGGCCGTCATGTTGACCGCACCGGGCGGGCAGGTGGCGGGGATGGTGAGCGGGTCGCAGGACAGTGGGATGACTGGGATCACTGTGGGACCCCCGTAGCACGCCGTGTCCTGCACGGGGCTGGTGGGTGGTGGACATGTCAAGTTCAAGCAGCAGCAGTGAGCAGCAGTGCAAGGGAGAGGTGGGCGAGGAAGCCTTGCAGCATGTGCAGAACAAGGGCGGTGGGTGGTTGAGTGGTGAGAGGTGGGTGGTGGGAGGTGGGCATGGCAAGTTCCAGCAGCAGCAGTGAGAAGCGGCGCACGGAAGAAGCTGGCAAGAAAAAGGAGCTGCTGTGATGTGAAATCGAGCGACAGGATTGACTCCCCTGGAGCGCTCTGACTACTGCTCGACCTGCAAATGGACTCACCGCGAAGGCGGCGTTGAAGCCGGGGATGTGCTGCGCGACGAGCGGCACGAGCAGCATCTGGAGTATGTCCTCCGGATATTTACTCACGGCGCCCAACACGAAACCATTATCCCCCACTGCACGCGAACGCCACAGCAAACCGCAAAGCGACAACGGAAGGATATAAAGGAATGGGAATGGAGAATGGGATGAAGGGAGTCTAAAGGAAAGTTGAAAAGCGCGACAGAAAGGAGAGAAAGCACTGTAACCTGGGAACGCGGAACTGACATGTTATCAAGGAGCAGGCGGTGGAGATGGCCGTCATGTAGTCGCCACTGCAGATGCGCAGCATGTACTTGCCGGGCTTGCCCGTGAGGTAGCTGCCCGAGTCTGCCACACACGCCGGCGAGAACGAGGGAGCAGAAACGGGAGCCCGCGACGAAGGGGGAAATCCAGCGGGGAAGAGGGGGAGGAAGGCGGGAACGGGCGCGGTAAGGCAAGCGGCTGGCGGCAGCGAGTTAAGTGCCGCAGAGCGTTGAACGGAAGAAGTAGAATTCGTTGAATATGCGAGTTTGGTGTGATGGCTGTCTCACCGGGGTTGCACTGCACCGCGCAGGCGAGTTGCTCGAACATGTGCGCGCAGATCTCATGAAAGTACCGATCTGCACGCACGAGACTCTCGTGAGTACACACACACACACTACAAGCACAAAACAAGACTGCTTGGTTCCTTTTGCAGAGCAGGTGCGTGTAAACGAACGCTGACCAAATTGCATGCAGGCAGGCAGGCACCGATGCTTCGTTACGTTGGTATATCGATTCCCTTATCATCGCGCCACCACTCACGCTAGCCGGCACGTCACCAGGGACGACGTCGCCACCCCCCACACCGGGCCACACCGCGGCGGTTACGTTAACGGAGAGCGCCTGAACGGCGAAGTTAAGGTCGGCGCAAGCGTCGGGGCAGCACGACATGCGCGACGCTCCCACGCACCGCGTGGGGGCCACTGTTGGCTTCGTCGGTGGCTTGCCGGTCAGCGGACAGTTGGGGTACGTCGTCGCGGCATTGGTACCAGACGGCAGCAGAAGAGTCGCCGCCAGCAGCGCCGTGAGAAGCTTCGCCGCGATGAAACCTCGACTCGAAGTCTTCGCCAGCGTAGTGGCCATGATGGCGAGAGCTGTGAGCTGGACCACCCTCGGCGCCGGTCAGCAGTAGGTGGCGAATAGAAACTAGCACACTGCAGCTTGAATAGAAAAAGAAAAGGGCGAGCCGAACTGAGTGAGGGAGGGACCGCGGTTCCGAACCGTCGCCAAGTTGCACGTATGCGCTCATGATGGGGAGGTGAGTGAGGGTAGCCCAGGGCCGCTCCGACAATCTGGGGCCGGCAAGGCTCCAGCCTTATCCACGCCCTACTGGCTCTCGTTAGACGCACGCCACGTTTCCCTTATCAAATGGACTGAACCCAGCAGCGGCTTTTCGCCTACCTCGCCACCTTCGCGACGGAAATAATTGGGCCCAGAAGACCGCAGTGCAGTGTGCCAGGCGAAGGATTGTCAAGAAATTGCAGGGTGTTCGTTCCCTTTTATCGGAGGTGGCAGTGTATATTCTTTGCGAACACCACTGCTACGGTACTTATGTTAAGATGGAGTGTCTATATAGAAAGGCCTTGGCAGGGGAGTGGGTCTAAAGAAAGAAAAGCTGTGGGCAAGGCCGCCTCACTACTGCTGCTCTTTATTAGGAGCAACGATTGAAGTCATGGACATAGATTTCTTGTGTGTGATTGTCCCCTTTGACTTTCTGCTGTACTCTATGCCTCCCCCTCTGTGTCTCTTGCAAGAAATTACTTCTTAATTTTCAGCATGTCACGTGAGTTTCGGGACTTTGAAGTTCCAGCAGATCAGTGAACATGCTTGGGAGGTACGGTATTCGAGTGGGACAACTTTTCCAGCATGGCGCTTCTAGAATCGAGCTCAGACAAAGCATGGTTTCATGGTCCGATGAAACTAATAAAGCAGGCTGAATTTCTTATTTTCTAGCCATGTCATTGTCAACGCTGGGCAGGGTGGTACCGTACATGCGACGAATGTTGTTTTAGCAATGTGGTGGCCAAAAATGATAGAGCAAGAATGGAGGGAGCAGGTGCGAATAGAGGGTCAAGGTGGGAGACAGGATGGTTCAGGTGTGGCGATTAGGACAGGAAGGGGAAGCGAGCAGGATGGGTGAGCGAAAAGGGAGCGAGCAGGAGGGGTGAGTGAAAAGGGAGAGAGCAGGAGGGGTGAGTGAAAAGGGAGAGAGCAGGAGGGGTGAGTGAAAAGGGAGAGAGCAGGAGGGGCGAGTGAAAAGGAGAGCGAGCAGGAAGGTCGAGTGAAAGGGAGAGAGAGCAGGAAGGTTGAGTGAAAGGGAGAGAGAGCAGGAGGGGAGAATGAAAGGGAGCGAGCAGGAGGGGGATCCGGGGGAGCATCACCTGGTGCACGTTCAGGTCAATTATTGCCACTCGCTGCACTCGCTTCACCGCTCTCTCGCCCCCACCACCGCTCTCAGCTCCCTCCAGCAGCCCTCTCCACACGTACGACTGCTTTCCCATACCACATGCGCTTGCTGCTGAAGGTGATTCGGGTAACACCAGCGGCAGTGGTGGGCCCTGTGCCTGTGCCTGTGGTGGTGGCAGTGACGGTGGCAGGGTGGGTGCCTTTAGGCCATGGCAGCAGGGAGGAGGCGGTTAGGGCAGTGGCCGTGACAGCAAGGTCGTTCAGAATGCAGTAGCCCAACCTGTGGCCCTGAAACGCATGGAGCATGCCTGGTGGATGGGTGAGTGGAGGTGGGCGATAAGATAGACATGGGCATCAGGGGTAGGTGGGCGGGGTAGCGCACCTGTGTTGTTTTTCGAGCTATAAGCGGTCTAGTGATTTTGCGCACCTTGGTGTTGGTTCTTGAGACCTCATTGGGGGTCTCAGCCTAGGGTTGCAGTTGGGCCATTGCTAGTTAGCTAGCCTTCTTATGCTCAAATCCGTCTGTATCTTTTGTACACATATACATTGTAAATAAAGCGGTTATGACGTCAGACTCTGAATCTGAAAGGCCGAGTTCAATTCTCGGTAGGACCTCTTCTTGTTACCATTCTCAAGGAAAGCCCTCTCACCTCACCCCCATCGATCCCATGCCTCCCAGCACCCACCATATCAAACTACCCCACTTTCATCCGGACTCGTGAGACACATCACCCACCTACGCCACAATCCAAAAGCAGCACGGCTGCCGCCCGTGCACATACCCAACCCTTCTCCCCCTCACGTTGCCCCGCACACATCCGAGCTCTTATTCTCTGCTACAGGCAACTCCCTCCATCACCTGACCCACCTTCCCCGTGCTCCATTTAAGTGAACTAAGAAACCATGCTCAACACTCAATGACAGACGTGCCTCCTCGCCCTCATCCACAGCCAATACAGCTCTCAGTCACTCGACTCGTCAGCTCGCTGTGTGTGCCAATGCCCCCTCCCCATCCCCATCCCCCCCCCTAGCGCTGCATGTGCCCATGCTCCCCTGCAGCGCTGTCAATCAATCAGCCAACTGTATTTAAAGCATCCTTACCAAACCCCTTCCCCCCCCACCCCCTTCTCCTCCTGTGCAGCCTACCTCGTGCCGTGCTGCATGCAGGGCCGTGCTTCAACGCCACCTGTGACGTCTCCCGTGCCTCTCACCCACGCAGCCCTCTCACCCACAACCCACCCATACCAGCACCTCCCGTGCCGCCCGCCCACGACCTCCCCTGCCCCCCTGCCCCCCGGCGCACCTCGGCGAGTGTCCGTCTAACGAGGGTGGGCGACCAGGGGAAGCCAATGCGACGCATGGCAGCAGAGGGGAGCGCGCCCTGGCAGACCTGCGCCAGGTACTGCGGACAGTGCACCTGGGGGAAGGGGGCGGGGGAGGGGGGTGGGGTGGGAGGGGGGGGGAAAGGGGAGGGGGGAAGGGGGGAGGGGAGAGGGGGGGAGGAAGGAGGAGGGGAGGCGAGGAGAGGGTGGGTGGAGAAGGGTGGAGTGGAGAGAAGGGGAGAAGGGGAATAGGGTGCATGGTGGACTTAGAGGTGAGGAAAGAGCTGTGGGCGAAGGTGTGGAAGGTTGATTGAGATCGGGGGGGGGGGGGGGGGGGGAGGTTGAGAGAGGGGGTAGAAATGCCGTGTTGTTGGGCGTAGAGATGCACCATAGCCATGCGTTGGCGTGCGTGTGGCGTGCGTGTGGCGTGTGTGTGGATGCGTGTGGCGTGCGTGTGGGGAAGACGCTTCTTGGGGCGGTGCAGAGAGCTGGCAGTGCGTGGTGGTGGTTGCTGGATTCATAATAGCGCGGGGGAGATGGGGAGGGAGAAGGAGCAACCATGCAGGCAAGGAAAGACGACCCAGAAAAAAACGGAAGAATTGGGGGCGGGGGGGAGGGAAGGAGGGAGAGACCAGGAGGGGGGATGGAGGGGAGGGAGGGACTGGAGGGAATGGAGAGAAGAGGAGGGACTGGAGGGAATGGAGAGAAGAGGAGGGGTTGAACGGACCTACTCGAAGCAGGTCGGAAACGGGCGGCATGGGGTGTGGCGTGACCACCTGGAGGGCGAGAGGGTGGTGGAGGGCGAGTGAGAGAGATGATAGCGGGTGGAGGAATGGGAAGCAACATGGATGGGGGAGGAGAAGAGAGGGGGGAGTAAGTGTGCAGGCGGGACGGCGAAGGCGCTGAGAGATGAGGTGAGAGATGAGCCACAACAATATCACGTCACTTTCATCCTCTTGATACCACTGCTCATCCCACGCACCTTCCCACTGGCCCCATCACCTTTCCCCCAACAACCCCCCTCCCCCTTCCCCCCTTCCCCCTCCCCCCTTCCCTTCCCCCTCCGCGCCTCTGCACTGCGCGCGGAACTCGCCTGCGCGGGGCGCATCACCCCTTCGCGCAGCAGCATGGCGTGAATCGCCTCGAACACGCCCATCGGGAATCGGTGCCCCGGCGCCAGTTGCGGCGCGCTGAACAGCGCGTGGTGCACCACCGGCAGCCCCGCGCAGCCCCCCGCGCGCGCGCGCCCCTCCGCTCCGCCTCGACCCACCGGCTCCGCGGGCGACGACTGCGGACGGGCGGAAAAACTCCGCGCAGGAGCGGAGCGGCGCAGCGGAGGGCCTGGGGAACGCGAAAAGGACGGGGTCGGTGGTGTGCGGGCATGGCGGACTTGCGGGATGGAAGTAGCGACACGGAGCCCATGGCTGATAGCGCGCGTGGCCATGGGCGCGACGCGCACGAGCAGCGAGGCGACGGGCGAGGGTTGCGAGAGTCGCGGTGCTGCCAGCATGGTTGGCGTGGGAAGAGTGGGGAGGTGAGGTGAGCAGGTGCGTGCTCTGGGCTGAGAAATCGCGCAAAATGCTCTTGGTCGTGGTGAGGGAACATCTTGGATACGCGGTACAAGCTCGCTGATACTGAACCGTAATCAGTCAGCTCGTAGAAACAAGATTACATTACAACCACCACCACAATGTGTTTCTAGCTTCCATTGCTTTGAAACTCTTCTCTTCTCACCAACCTGAACATTAAGGCATGCACTGCAAATGAAGCCCCCTTCATGTTAGAGTAAGGATCTTGGATAGGATAGGATAGTGCTTTGGTAGAGTTTGGTAGCGGAAGTCTTGTAGAACTCAGATCATAGTGAATGTAAATGACCAAGTTGATTAAAAGATAGAATACAAGGAATATAAATAGTCCTAGTCTAGCCATGTACTCTAAGGGGTACATTCCCTTATTATAACTGTTTTACAGGCATTTCTACAGTGACTCTGACTGTTGTGCTGCTTTTCTTGTTACCGAATCGCTGCATGTGACCTGTACGGTTACGCCTGTTGCCATTCCTCGATGGTAGGTCAAACGTCGGTCCAGATGGTCAACAGTCGCGACAGTTGACTCTTGCGACTGTTGACCTTCCTGCCCTTGATACGGGCTGATCCGATATCTCGGTTGTTGCTGCTTCGATAAAGTCGGGTGCGATACTGCTGCACCTACGGGAATGCTAAGTATAATTCCCTTCACACTCCAACACTCCCCTTCATTCCTGGAGGTGCGCCACGTGGCTCTTGCGAGTGACTCCGCACAGATCCGAGCAGTACTGGAACTTCTGACGTGGCAGTTTCTTCGTGAGGAAATCAGCTGCCATTTCGCCAGTTGGACAGTAGATGAGCTGCACCTTCCCTTTGTCGATTTCGTCCTTCACGAAGAAGTAACGGAGGGCGATGTGTTTCGTGCGGTTGACGAAGCCTGGCTTGTTTGCGATTTTGATCGCGCTCTGGTTGTCGCAGAGTAACTTGAAGGACCCGTTCATCGCCGTCTTCGTTTCCTGCAGGAGTTCCGTGAGGTAGAGTCCTTCGCGAACTGCTGAGCTTGCTGCGATGAATTCTGCTTCTGCTGACGAGAGGGTGATGAGCTCTTGCTTGTTGGAGTTCCAGGAAATGGTTCCTGCGGGCTCAAGTTTGAAAATGAAGCCTGTGCGGGACCTCCTGTTGTCTGCGTCTCCTGCCTGGTCAGCATCCACGTAGCCGGTGAGTTGTAGTGGGGCTGTTAAGTTGGCCTTGTAGGTGAGACCGACATCGGGCGTGGAGATGAAGTACTGTAAGGCGCGGCGCAGGTCTGCTAGGTTCTCCCCTTCAGGTCGCCGCAGGTACTAGGCGAGCTGGCTGGCGATGTAGGACAAGTCCGGGCGGCATGTGACGGCGGCGAACAGTAGGCATCCGAGCTGCTGCTGATAGAGACGGTGATCAGCCGGTGAGAGCGGATTAGTGTCGGACTCGTGGTTAGGCGGAGGAATGCGGAGCGGGGTGGTTACGCCGACGGGAGCTATCCCGAACTTCTGGCGAGAGTCTCGGCGTACTTCGCGGCGGAGAGATGAATGGTGTCCGCGGTCTGAGTGACGTTGAGGCCGAGGAACTGAGTGACCTCGTGGTCGATCGTGACCTCCAGCTTCTCCTGAATTTCACGTTCGAAGCGATCGAGCAGTTCGTTGTTGTCGCCGGTGTAGAGAAGGTCGTCGACGTAGGCGACAAGCAGGATGAAGTGGCCGCGGGATTCGAGGCGGTACATCCCCTGATCGTGGGGGAGTTGCTGGAAGCCGAGCTCGATGAGAACGCCGTGAAGATGCTGCTGCCACAGGCGTGGTGCCTGCTTGATGCCGTACAGAGATTTTTGCAAGAGACAAACTGCGTCGCTGTCTTCTTCGAACGCATGTGGCTGCTCGACGTAGATGATAGCATCGACGATCGCGTAGAGAAACGCGTTGGAGACGTCGATCTTGCGGAGGGGGCGCTGTTTCACGGCGGCGATGCAGATGAGAATGCGCACTGAGGTATGTCGACCGACAGGAGCGAATGTCTGGTCGTAGTCCACAAATTGTGTCTGCTCGAATCCGCGGACCACCCAGCGCGCTTTGAATTTTTCGACCGTTCCGTCCGCGAGAGTCTTGATGCGGAAGACCCACTTCCCTGTAAGATTTTTTCTCCCCTTTGCGTGGCGGCGTGGTACCAGCTTCCAGGTGCCGCGGCGTTGGAGTGCAGCGACTTCGGCGGCCATGGCGGTTCTCCACTTCTCAGCATCGGGCCCGTTGAGAGCCTGGCGAACGGTGGTGGGTTCAATCAGCTGCTGGTTACCCCGAACGGCGACGGCGAGGCCAAGAATGCGAAGGCCTGTCAGGTTGGATTCGGCTGTGGTGGTAACTTCGACCACGTCGTCGTCGTCGCCAGGGATGTCGCGAAAGGTGTCGCGGGATGAGTCGCGAGCTGGGTCTTCATTCATGGGTGAGTGCATTTCTGCACTTGCATAATCGTGCTGTGCCTGTACTGCTTCATGAGGGTCGATGTTGGTTGGGAAGTGTGCAGGAGTGCCGAACTGCTCCGTAACGGGGATGAAGGGTGCCTCGTCTGCTGCGTCAGCTGCTGCCTCGTCCGGTTGTTCGCCCGCCACGTCAACATCGTCCTCGTCATTGGCGTAGCTGTGCTGTCCCTGAAAAACGTTGTCTGGTGCGTTTTGTGCAGTGCGGTGCTGGCGGTACAGTGGCAGTGTCAGTCTTTCGTAGAAGATGCAGTCACGTGAACGCGTGAGCTGGTGGGTGGTGAAATCCAGGATTGTCCAGGCGTGGTATTCGGATTCGATTCCGAGGTGAATGCCCCAGCGAGCGCGATCTTCAAATTTTCCTGTTCGGGCAGTGTGAGGGCGGTACTGTACCATGCACCCGAAGACTCGCAGCATGCGTGTGTCAGGGTGTTTTCCGGTCCACTCCTTGAAGGGTGAGCTGTTGTTGGGCAGTGCCTTGGAGGAGAGCATGTTGTGCAGCCGAACTGCATGTGCCATTGCGTAGGGCCAGTACTTGGTTGGCACAGCTGACTGCTTCATGAGGGCTCGCATTTTTGTCGCGAGGCTCCTGTTGGTTCTCTCGGCCAATCCCTGCTGTTCGTGGGCGTAAGGCAAGGAGATCATCCTCTTGATCCCCTTCTGCTTGCATAGGGTTTTGAAGTCCTCCGACAGGTATTCCAGTGCTCCGTCTGTTTGGAACCCCTTCAGCTTGTAGCCGTTGCTTTGGTTTTCTGCCATGGCGAGCCAGATTTCGAAGCAAGCGTAGGCGAGGTAGCGATCTCGAACGTTAACGGCCCAGACGAAGCGTGTGCCAGCGTCGATGAAGGTAAGAGTGTATTGTTCCCCGCCGACTCCTTTCGCCGTGAGCATTAAAAAGTCGCTGTAGACTTTCTCCAGCGGTTCATATCGCTCTGCTCCAGGAATCTTTTCGGCGAAGGGCGTGTGGCGGAGCGCAACTTCCGGGCAGACGGTGCAGGTAGGCAGGTCGGTTCGTGGTTTCAGCAGTTTGCCATCGGGCAGCAACAGTGCGTCTGCCGCAAAAACTTTTGCATTGATGCAGTTGTTGAGCACTTCGATTGATGGGTGTCCCATGCGTTGATGCCAGATGTTTCCGTCGGCCCGATATCCTTTAGTGCACGTGTACAGCTCCTTTTCGCGCGCTAATATCTCCTCCGCTGTTTCTTGCCTTGTTGTATCCGCAGGTTCATTCGGCACGGTGACCTGGACTGCTGCTGCTTGAATTGTCACCCCATGATATGCTCCGCTGGTGTCGCCAGTGGTGATAGTGTCCATCGTCACCGGTAGCTCCAATGGTTTTTCTGGACGCGAGGTTCGTGTGTGTCGATCTTCGGGTTGCGTGACTTCGTCTTCCTTGAGTGGGGTATCGCCGATCGCCACTCCCCTTGTCTCGAGGCGAAGATAGTCTCTGCCGTCCGTTGTGATGGGAAGCAGGTGAGGTCCGTATTCCGTCAGTGACTCGTCCTCTTCGGCTTCTGGTGCTTCTTCAGTGATTTCTGGTTCCTCTGCTGCTTCTTCTGCAGGTGCGTCGGCGATGTTGCCGCATCCAGTTTCAGCTGCAACAGCTTCTCCGAGCGCAGTGTTCTCCATGATCCAGCGTGTGTCCACGGCGTCCCAGCCTTCGGTGGTGTTCCATCCGGTAGGTTGCTCGACGCGAGGCCAGATTGCTCGTGCCCATCCTCCAGCTTGAGTGTTGGCCGTTTCCGTTGTTGTAGCTGCTGTTTCTGATATGATTTCTTCGCCTTCTTCCACCGCCTGAGGTCCAGTGTCCGCAGGGTTCGTGGTCGAGGCAACGGGTACGGCAAGGGCGCGGAAGGTTCCATCGAGGCCGGGTTGTTGATAATCGGTCTCTTCTGGGTGACTCCATCTTGGCGGCGACGGGTGACCCGGAGGGTCAAGAACAAGGATGTGTTCGTTGTCGCCATTGGTTCTGGGTGACTCAAAGTCGAGCACGAAGACACCTTCCACACTCGTTGCTTTTCCGATGAAGATGCCGTCGTATATTAAGTGCATCTCGTCTTCTGTTGTTTGCAGGCCAACTCCGCACTTCATCAGCTGGTGAAGTGACAAGAGATTGTACCGGAGTTCCGGCACGATGAGGACGTCGCTTATGTGGATGCAGTAGCCGGTGTCGTGTGACTCCAGTTGCACTTGTCCGCGGCTTCTGGCGTAGATGGTCTGGCTGTTGGCGACGGTGATCTCCACTTCGTTAAAAAGTCGCTCTCTGTTGAGGATGAAGACATCTGAAGACACCATGTGCTGGCCACAGCAGCTGTCCAGGTACCACGTGTTGACTTCTTTTCTTGCCTTGGCCAGGTTAGCGAGCTTCGGAGTGACGTGATGTTCCATGTCGTGATCATTTTCGTAGTCGTAGTAACATTCTTCGTCGTCGTGTACGATGCGTGCAGGTGGCGACTCCTGGATCCACTCCGGCGCTTCCCAGTCAAACTGCATTCGTCCGACCGTCAGCTCGTCGTAGGTTGGATCATTCTCCTCTTCTTCTTCGACTGATCCTTCGGGCCGCTCCAGAGGCGGGTCTGCGAACATGTCTTCCCAGCTGCGGAAGAAACGATAGTGACGGTTGGGGCGAGGCGGTCCACGACGCACCATGCAAGTCAAGACCTTGCTTTTCCCCTTATCGCTTGTGTTCGCAGAGAGACGTGCCGGGGCTTGGGACGTGCTGGCTACGGCTGGCGGCGACACAGTTTGGTTGCGCGCTGCGGCTCCTCCTTGCTGGTGAGCAGCGGTACCTTTCTGGTTGGTGTTGTTGCCGTTCAGCTTCCAGCAGTCTTGAATCATGTGCCCAGTCTTCTTGCAGTACTTGCAGAAGAGTCTTTTCTTGTCCGGTGGCGCTTGAGCGTAAAAGGCGATTTTCTCCTTCTTGTTGCCTCGTTCGTTGTACAGGTCGATTTCCTTCTGCTCGGAGAGAAGCGTGGAGCAGAGGGCAGTTTCGCTGAGGGTTCCTTGCGTGCGAAGGAGTGACTTGCATTGGCGCCATTCCGGGCTCAATCCAGCGAGGATGATAGTGACGAACATATCGTCAGGGAAGTTTCCGCCGCTTTTCCTGAATTGATCTCTCAGGTTCCTGCAGCGGTTGATGTATGGGCCGGCCTTTTCGCCGGGGAACATCTTGACGTTGTTCAGCTGGTTGAGCAGGCGACTAAGTGTCACCGAGTCTGTTGCCATGTGGCAGGTGCGCAGGTGTTCCCAGGATTGTTGCGCGGGCGCCCGTTCGTTCTTGAAGGGGCGAATGCTCAGCTGTTCTTCAGGCGACAGGTTTCGTATCAGGACGGTGAAGGCCAGGAGTGATTCGTTGTTGTACTGACTCTTCTCCTGAGGTGAGCCATTAGTCGGAAATGCGTACGATCCGTCGTAATACATCGAGATCTGAGCGCCTTGAGCCAGTAGCTCAGATTCAAAGCTCCACGTATAGAAATCTTGTCCGTCGAAGGGCTTGGTAGTTCTGAGCTTCGACGTTTAGAGGAACTTGCTCTGCATTGAAGCCATTGCCTCGTAATGTGATTGTTGTGCTTGAGCAGATCCTTGAACTCCGCGGTTGTCGAAGGTGAAGGATCGCTCAGATCCAGCTCCTTGAGGATCGGGAGGTCTTCGGGCGTAGCTTGAGCCGTCAATGCTCATTGGCTGATGGCTCTCCAGTGCGCTGATGCGGGAAATCAGTTGCTCGAGTAGAGCTGTGTCCACAGTCGTCGTAGTAGAGTCGACATTGGTGGAGGGTTGCACTGGATTTTCTCCAGTTTCTCCGCAGTCTGCGCCTGGCATGTTGATGCCCTTGATGTTGAGATTAAGTTATGAGGAAGCCTTTTGGAGGCCTTTTAGCAGATCCTATAATCCAAACTAGCTCTCATACCATGTTAGAGTAAGGATCTTGGATAGGATAGGATAGTGCTTTGGTAGAGTTTGGTAGCGGAAGTCTTGTAGAACTCAGATCATAGTGAATGTAAATGACCAAGTTGATTAAAAGATAGAATACAAGGAATATAAATAGTCCTAGTCTAGCCATGTACTCTAAGGGGTACATTCCCTTATTATAACTGTTTTACATGCATTTCTACAGTGACTCTGACTGTTGTGCTGCTTTTCTTGTTACCGAGTCGCTGCATGTGACCTGTACGGTTACGCCTGTTGCCATTCCTCGATGGTAGGTCAAACGTCGGTCCAGATGGTCAACAGTCGCGACAGTTGACTCTTGCGACTGTTGACCTTCCTGCCCTTGATACGGGCTGATCCGATATCTCGGTTGTTGCTGCTTCGATAAAGTCGGGTGCGATACTGCTGCACCTACGGGAATGCTAAGTATAATTCCCTTCACACTCCAACACTTCACTTGCATCTTCAATCAACAGCGTGACTATACGGGGATACACTATAAAAACTTCACTGTGCAAAGTCAGTAACGCGATCAGACACAGTGCAGGTATTGGTACAATAATATTCATAAGAAGCATCCAACTTTGGCTACTTGGCCAAAATCGGACCGTTGGCTTGCCTCGGCCTGCACGCCGGAAACGAATCTCACACCTCCGCCATGAGCACAACCGTCAGCAGCGGCAGAACTGCCACAGCCAGAGAGACTCCACTCGGCCCAGCAGCCTTGGGGGGAGGAGGAGAGGGGATAGGCCTAGCGGGAGGAGGAGAGGGGATAGGGCCAGCGGGAGGATGAGACACAGATGGGGGGGACGGAGACACGACGCTTGGGGGGGGGAGCACCGGTGATGGGGGCTGGCGGTGAGGGGGTAGGCGGAGACTGGGCAGGGGCGGGAGGGGAGCGCGCAGGAACAGAAGAAGGGGGCACAGGAGCAGGAGTGTAGGGGTAAGGAGCGTTGATGTCGCCGCTCAAAGTGTCAGGGAAGGGCCGGGTGGCATTGGAGTAGGGGAAGTCAGCGCAGTTTGCCGGGTCGAGGGGGCGCCCCGACACGCCCTTGGCGGCCGTCATGTTGACCGCACCGGGCGGGCAGGTGGCGGGGATGGTGAGCGGGTCGCAGGACAGTGGGAGGACCGGGATCACTGGGGGACCCGAGTAACACGATGTGTCCTGCACGTGAGGGTCGCAAATCAGAATACCATTTATCATTGATGATTCAGAGTACACATTTGAAAAACGCATTTATCATTGATGATTCAGAGTATACATTTGAAAATAAATAAAGAACGGGTAAAAAGACTAACACTGCAATATATAACGCTGAAACGTATATATAGTACATCCCATATCTATAACACTGAAATGTGTGTATATATATATATATAATACACGCAAAAAAATCAGAAGCTGAAGTTTATATATGACGAATAAATTAAAAAGCTTTCAGCGTAGAAAACATATTTTTTTTATCGAAATATCAAATTGTTTTTTTACTTATGGCGGCCCTTACCGGAGTACGCATCCTCTTGATGTGGCCAATGTGATGTTACGAGAAATTCAATAATGCTACAATAGCTTGTCAGTTATTCCAATAATGTCTTCACTTGTGTTCCAACAATGCTATTCATCTATACTGCAATCATTGCTCGCTTATTTGATTGCATGTGTGATAACCTTGTTTTTTTACATACCGTAACCTCCCTGTGAAAAGCCCCCAGACCCATGGGGCTTTTATCTGGATAGAAGGTCTTGTATTGTGGCAGTCCTCGTGAAGTCCTGGGTTCTCGAATGAGTAATTATGGGACCCTCCCCCTGTTCCAAATTTTAAAATTTCAACAACGAACTCATATTTTATTCTGGTTATGCACGTACATGGGCCAGACGTCAAATCAACCCAACCTACTTCATCCGATTATATTCTTTTCATCAAAATCTACTGGATGGGCCACCAGTTAGGCTACTTAATCACTTTCTACCTCTATATTATCTTCTCCTCACCCTTAACATCCTCCACACTCTCCACATCCTCCTCCTCTTCATTGTCACCATTGGCCTCCTCAACCTCATGGACGCCGGATGCATAGAGTGGGCTCACCCACTCTTCCACATCTCCTGTTGCGTGCACGTCGTCATGCACCTCGGATTGCGCAATGTCTCATGTACGCGAGGATGAGGTGATCCTCGTGCTCATCTGGGTTGTTGCTGATGCCACTCGTCGTGAAGGCGCGCACGATTACATCCTCAGGTACTGCCTCTTAGGCAGCCACGATCCTGCGTAAGACAACCTCTACAGGGGGCTTTCACATGTTCCCTACACATGGAAACGGCATAGTAAACACCCATGTATCGCAAAAGTGAAATGGTGTATTGATTCAACATAAACCTGCAAGGGTGAATGGTTGATTTTTGATCGCAGCAAACCACTCGGTGTACGCCTGCTGAACCCCCGCCTTGAAGGACATGTTAATGCTGGCATCGAGCGGCTGCAACAATGGCGTGCAAATGTCGGGGATGATGACGGGCACAATGTTTTGCCAACGGAACGAATCAGCCACCGCATCCGTCAGATGGTCGCGGTATGAGTCGAGCACCAAAAGCGCCTTTCCGCGCTTTCCGCTAGACGGCGGGCGGAGAAAGTGTGCGAATCCAGAGAGCGTAGTGAGAGATTAAGTCCGCCGACTTTGATGGAAACATTGCGAACAACTCACGTAATCTTATAATATGAGCAGGTACGCGTTGGAAATGTCTCAGTCTCTAATCTCCAGAATGATAAATCACGCCTTCAACCAAGATACAGGCCAATCTGTATCGCGATTTGAGTGGTGTATCCTGACGGAATTCCTTGGAAGCCATAGATAAGATCTAGGGATAGCTATAGCAAGAGTTCAGATCTTTAAAGTGACGAGTTTGACCAATCATACCATCCCAACCCTCGCCCTACAACAATCCCCAACAACCCAAAGTGCAAAACTAGTAACACCAAAGGTGTTGTAGTGAATAGCAAAGGTTTGTTGGTGCTTGTTGGGTGCGAGTTCAATTCCCGCCCGCAACAAGTCTAACAATCACATTTTGCCCAAGCCCTTATCCCAGAACCAACTAGAGCAAAATACCACAACCACCTACACAATCATCAAAGAGCACGTCCTGCACCAAGTCCATAACGAGGGTGGCGTCCATCCACCCTCGTTCTTGGGCTCGAATGGGCAGCCCTGCCAGCATGGAAACACAAAAACAGCGAGACCATAAAAACTAACAACTGTAACAGGATCAATGCGACCCCACACCCTCAGTCATTTTGCGGGGCTTGGACATTCGGGATTGTATTGCGTTTGAAGATAACCATGGGCTGGAGCTTATGCATAGCTGCGATGTGGGTCAACATAACCGTCACCAGTTCCTTCTCGTAGCCCGCCGTGCGGATCTGGACAGTCCTCTCGCCACGGTGGTGCGGTGTCCTCTCGTGGGGCATTTATAGGAACATAATCCGGGTTCACGATGTTCTAAGGTTCGATCATGTGTGCGACAAGTAGTTTGCGGCAGAATTTCCATAAGCTCTCGATGTTGGATATGCAATCTGCACCCCATAACAACACATCCCAAAAAAACCACATCAAAATATACCCGCCGAGAAAAGTAAAGAACACACAAAGTTGGGGTGGCGGAAACACGAACTGCACATTTTACATATTTAGACGTTGGCCAATCTTGGTTTTCATCCTCACGAGACCCCACCTTGCACTAAATCGTTATGTCCAGTGGAGAGATGCTTGTCTGTTTTATTTTGGGGTGGCGGTTCTTCATCGAAGAATGGCTCCACTACTGCAGGAGTTTTACGGGGATTGCCAGGTTGCGAGCACGGTAGGAGAGGAACTGTTTGTAAATGAATTGTTCTATATCCTGATGTTTCGCCTGTTGCTCGCCTCTAACAAGTCGCTTCCGGGGTCCTGCGGTGGCTTCGATCGCTGCCGCCGCCCTCTTCCAACAGCGGATACTGACGGAATCCACGACGGCGAGTCGTGCGGTGCCGCAGACTGTCGGCTTCTCGTCGCGAATCCGAACGAGCCACAAACAATTTTCTTCCATGGTGCGCGAGTGCCGCTTATGCGTGCTCACCCTGCCGCGAGTTTCACGGGTCTGCGCATCACGAGCCTGGTCTTCTTCACTAGCATTGCGACGCATATCATCAGGAAATTCAGGCAGCGGATAGGCTAATGCTTCAGCGGCGGTAGGATCTACGGAGAGTCACTCTACAACGGTAGTGAGCTAGACTACGGGGGTTGGCACGAACTACCAGGAGTGATCGTAGCTTTGCTTAGTTCCTTAGTGCTTGCACATTCACGGGAGAAATCGGCAAGAGTTTCCACTAGCAAAGTCGAAATTACAGAATGGTTGAACAAGCAATGACAACAATTGACTACATTAGGCCCCTAGCAATTCTGCAGCTAGCCTGGTCGACCGCCAGCACAACTTGGTCGACCGCCTGCCAGCATTGCGTAGAGGAGCCGCGCCAGCACTGCAGAAGGGCGATCTGCCAACACTGCAGGTCGACGGCGTGCCAACGCTGCAGCAAAGCGGCTGTCCAGCGTTGCCCCGTAGAAGACAGCAGTGCGCACGCTCGCAGGTGCGCGCAGACGATTGGCCCGACTTGCACCGTTGTGCATCCGTCGGCTGTTGTCTGCGCCTGACGAGCCACATCGACTTCGGGATACCAACCCAAGGTCGCCTTCACCATCGCGACCTTGACGACGTTCGCGTGCCTCCGCAGAACTCGTCGAGCAGGTTACCCGGTCGACCTGGTCGACCACCAAGTGCTCTGGTCGACCACCACTGCCTCTGGTCGACCACCAGGTGCCTCTGGTCGACCACCAGGTGCCTCTGGTCGACCACCAGGTGCCTCTGGTCGACCACATCTCCTGTCGAGCTACCCCCTAATCGACGGACTCCTTCTGTCGACCAGAACTGTCAGCAGTTGTCGCCGAGCTCCCCTCGGCGACCGCTGCTCACATTCAGGTCGACAGACTGCTCCGTCGACCTCCCGGTCGAACTGCTCCTCCTGGTCGACGGCCCACCCGTCGCCCAGCCCAGTCAGCTGCAGCTGTCGAGCTCCCTGGTCGACGGCTCCAGCCCCGTGACAGTCCTATGCAGGTCGACAGCCACCTCGTCGACCTGCCCCGCAGAAGAAGGCCGTCGAGCACTCCTGGTCGACGGCAACACCACAGTGATCCCCTGCAGCTCGACGAAGCCCGTCGAGCAGCTCCTTCACTGCGAACGGTCGGCTGCTTCTCCCGTACATCCGACCAAGTCGCCGGCGTTGTCCAAGCGAGGGTGGGGCCAACACTCCACTCCCGTTAACACTCCCCTGCCGCGCTCACGCTTAGGCCTCCAGCCCACACGGCAGTACTCCATGGAGAAAACTCGTCCTCGGCGTGCACCCCACACACAGCACGCCGTCACCGCACCAGCCGTGCAGAACGGCACGGCACCTACTGCTGCACATCATCGTCGCCGTCGCCAACGTCGGTCAGGCGAACTTGGCCGATGGCGACAGAGCGCCGGTTGAAAGCCGGAAAATGCAGCGCCTTCGTCAGGAAGTCAGCCGGCTGCTCGGTGGTCGGGATGTACTTCAGCACGAACTTCCCGCGCCTCACCATGTGCTGCAGCCAGGCGTAGCGTCGCTCCATGTGCTTGAGGTTGCCCGTCAGCCCCAAGCCCTCAGCGACCGTAATTGCCAACTTGTTGTCGACCCGGAGGACGGTCGGCTTCCTAGCGTCGAGTAGCTTGAATTCCGCAAGAAGGAAACGAAGTCGGCGTCCATCCTTGCCTGCATCCGCGACCGCCACGTACTCCGACTCGGTCGACGACAATGTCGCGCACTTGATGCGCGAGCTCGACCAGGAGATGGCGGCCCCTCCGTAGACGAACACGTAGCCTCCCGTGCTCGTCCAGTTCTGCTTGTCGCCCGCGTCGTCGGCGTCCACGTAGCCGATCAGCTCCAGCGACTCTGGTCCACCGCCGAACTCCAGGGCGGTGTCGCGGGTGTCAGCGAGGTAGGCGAGGCAGCGGTCGACCTCGCGCCAATGCTGGTCGATCCTCACCGTGAGGCCGCTCCCCAGCTTGCTGCAGGCGAACGCGATGTCCGGCCTCGTCGTCGTCGCCGCGAACTGCAGCGAGCCAACCTTCTGTCAGTACTCCTCCTCCTCGCGCTCCTGCGCCTCCTCGTCGTCGAACGTCAGCTCAGCGTAGGCGTCGACCGAGACCGGCGTCTTCGGGACTCGACCGCCCTGCTCCTCGTCGATGAAGCGCCTGCGCAGCTTGTCGGCGTAGTTCTGTTGGTGCAGCCACAGCTTCCTCGCTGGCCTGTCACGCACGATCTCCAGCTCGAGGTACTTGACGACCGGCGATATCTCGCGCAACTCAAAGGCAGCCTCCAGCAGCTCCTTCAGCTCCTTCAGCATCGCAGTGCTGCTGCTGGCGGCGAGCAGGTCGTCGACGTAGACCAGCACCCACCAAGTCACTCCGTCGTCGCCGGCCTTGAAGTAGAGCGCCGTGTCGACTTGGATCTTCTTCCAGCCAGCGCCCAGCAGCACCCTGTCGAGAGCCATGTACGACAGCAGCGGCGATTGCTTCAGCCCGTAGACGCTCTTCAGCAGCTTACACACCTGGCCGGTCCCATCGTCGAAGTAGTCCAGCTGGTACATGTAGAGCACCCTGTCGAGCTTGCTATGCAGGAAAGCGTTCTTCATGTCGAGCTGCATCAGGTTGAGGTCGAGGACGGCGACGATGCTGAGGAAGATCCTCAGCGTGACGTAGCTGCTCACCGGCGAGTACGTCTCGTCGTAGTCGGCGCCGTACACCTGCGTGAAGCCCTTCACGACCAGCCTCGCCTTCTCGCGCTCGATGGTGTCGTCGATGCGGTACTTGGTCGTCAACACCCACCGGTTCTTCATGATGTTCACCCGGCGTGGGCGTTCGACCAGCTCCCAAGTGCCCATGCCGATAAGGCTGCGGATCTACTCGTCCATGGCGGCCTTCACCGCCTCGGCCTTCCACCTCGCCAGCGCCTCCTTCACCGTCGTCATGGC